CCCCCGTCCCGGTGGGCAGGCTTGGGGGCCGGGATGGGTGCTTGGGGCCAGGCCGGGTAGAGGCAGCTGGTGTGGATTGCAGCGGGGCCAGGGCGGATTGCAGCGGGGCCGGGCTGTTCCCGGAGCTGGACTCAAGGCCGAGGGAGCTGGGCCGGAGCCCCCGAATAGCGCCGGGGAGCTGAGCTCGCAGCTGGGCTCCGGGGGGGCCTGTGGGCCGGGCTTGCCCCCTGCTCCGGGCCCACTGGCTCCTGGGCCCTACTTAAGGTGGGCTGGGCTCAGGGGCGGCCTGATACCCCCCCCCCCCGGGTGGTGCCCGGGCCCATGGGCAATGCTGGGAGTGCAGGCGGGTTTGGGACCCTGGGCGTTGGAGGGGGGCAGCTGCCTTGGGGGCAGGGGGGTTGTGGCAGTGCCCCCGCGAGCCCCACGGGCCACCTTAAGTGGCTGTGTTGCTACTGCCGGGTGGGAGGCTGCCAGCAAGCACATGGGACTGTCAAAGCAGCCGGGCCCAGCCCTGGGGAAGGGGAGCCTAGTTCAACAGGGTGCAGGCGGGGGGGGTGCTGGAGGGGTTCGGGCTCCCCCGGCGCCGCTTACCCGCAGCGGCGCACTCCCTGTCTGCCTGCCCTGGCCCCACGCCGCGCCGCTCACCACGTCCCCCGCGCAGCCCCAGGGAGGGGGGGGCAGCATAGGGCTCTGCACGCTACCCTTGCCACGCCTTCAGGTACCTCCCCCAAAGCTCCCATTGGCTGCAGTTCCCCGTTCCCAGCCAACGGGAGCTGCGGGGGGTGGTGCCTGGAGCAAGCCCTGGCCCCAGGGACATGGTGCCCTGCCGGCCGCTTCTGAGAGGGCATTAGGGTGTGCCCAGGCATACCCAGCACACCCCGTGCGCACGCGTATGAACAAGAGGAATAAAAGGGGACCTGATAAAAGTATATAAAATAATAAATGATCTAGAGAAGATAGGTCAGAAACTTCTATTCTTCCTGTCTCAAACTACAAAAACAAGGGGAAATTCAATGAAATTGAGAGCTGGCAGATTCAAAACTGGTGAAAGGGAATACTTTTTTTTACAAATCATACATCCTGTGGAACTCATCACCACAAGAGATCACTGAGGCCAAGAGTTCAGCGGGATTCAAAAAGGATTGGACATCTATATGGATAACAAGGATGTCCAGAGTTTGTTTTCCTTGGGGTTATGCTATCCCATATTTGCTCACTGCAGGATTTTTTGCAGCTTTCTGGGTTAGCTGATACTGACCAGTGTTGGAAACATGATCCTGGCCTAGATGAACCAGTGGTCTGATCCAGTATAGCTGTCTCTATGTAATTAATGGAGACCGCTTTCCCCTGTGATACACTAATGTTCAGAAAAGTTGTATGCACAGGGAGTAGTAAGAGAACAGGATCATACCTCAAAATGGGCATGAAAGGAGGGCGTGGAAACTTGTGCATTGAGGAAAGGGAAGGAAGGCTAAAAATGCAAACCAAAATGAATATAATGAATATGGGCAAGATACTGAGAGCTGTCTCTAGGACGCTATAGGGAACCTAATGGAAAATGGGGTTCTTTGCTTTGATTGATAGCCCCCTATCTTCTATTCTGCTTCTGGCCATGCATCTTTAGATTTGAGCTGGTATGTTGTGTTAGCACCAAAATTCCCTGTGAGAGAGAGATGCAAGAGCGACTTTCATAGGCAATGTGTGAGGGAGAGACTGGAATGTTGGAGGTCCCAACAGTGGAACATAATGATGAGGGGTTTGGACAGTCAACCAGGGAACCATATATTAATCTGTTAGACCCATAGATGACCCTTCTGGACTACCAGCATGTGGGTGTGACCTTTTTTGTGGAGACTCCCCACTCCAGAACTGAGTCTTTCCCTTTTTGATCCCCTCCTTATAACTTCTTTGAGTTGGGCAGAGATGCACGGAGTGAGTGTATATGGGCATGCACATAGTCTACCTGAAAGATTCTGTTACAAAAAGAGATTCTACTTCATTATTGCTGGTGCGGAGGACCCCGGAGAGAGAGAGAGACATCGGTGGATTCAACGCATCACTGCCTGGTAACTCCACTTCACCGTTTGTCAATTACTAGGACTAATTTCTATTCAGTGTTAGGTTTAGGTTAATTACAGTCAGGTTTCTTTCAATACTTAGGTTAATCACAGTTGGATGTTCCCTGTGGTCACCCACCGACCCTCCCTGGGGGTCCATTGCAGGCCTTGTTTGCTGCTTGCATCCTCTGAATTCAGGCTGGGACTGTGGCAAGATGGGTCAATGCTTGATTAACAAGCAGAGGGAGCAGCTGCTACTCTGTAGACATTTTCATCATCTAAGCCTCACTAAAGCTTTTAACCAAAGAATTGGGACCTGAGGTGCCTGAACCCAAGGGAATTGACATGTCCTTTATAAAGCTTGTAACATAGGCTTGGATGTTCTTATATATCTGGGATTAGGGTGACACGACAGCAAGTGTGAAAAATCGGGACGGGGGTAGGGGGGGTAATAGGAGCCTATATAAGAAAAAAAACCAAAAATCGGGACTGTCCCTATAAAATCGGGACATCTGGTCACCCTATCTGGGATCCTTGTGGAACTGTTCCCATGCAAGGTCAATCTTGGGGGACCTGCAAAGCCCAAAGCTTCTGATTCAGGAGACCTATACATGCAAAGAAGAATCTCCACTTTCAGTTAAAATGTATGTTTCTAGCCTTTTATGTTATGGAAATAATCTCAAATCTAAACTGATTGCCAGTGTTGAGGGTTTCACTGATTTATCCTCAAGATCACAGGTAATTCACTGTCCTTACACACCTCTCTCCCTTGCAGCCTATCAGGCTGGCCTGTGAGATTTTTATATCCCACAACCATGGGTCACTCAATTTTTGGGGGTTTGGGGTATGGTGGCCTAAAACAAGTTACAACTGTGAGGGTGGCTTCACTCAGGCTGTCTCTGGCCCACTGTGTTCTGTATCCTAGATAGTTGCCTGTGGCTGAGCTGGTTCCTGTGCTGAGGAACTAGTACAGCCTCTGGTCACAAAAGATGGACAGCTCAAGAGTGTGAGAGGCAGCGTGGTGTATGGGGTGAAGTATGTGACTGAACGCAAGCGACTCCTGTGTTCTAATGACTCCATCTGTAGCATGGCCAGGTTACTCATTCTCTGCCTTAGCTTCCCCGCCCCACAGGGGGATCACACTGACTACCTCACTAGGGGTTGGGGCTGACTGATTAGTATATATTTGTAAGGTATTACTATATCTGAGCTAACATTAACCAGAATGCACCCAAAACCTTCTGGTGGATCGGGGTGGGCAAACTTTTTGGCCTAAGGACCACATCTGGGTGAGGAAATTGTATGCAGGGCCATGCATGTAGGGCTGGGGCAGGAGGTTGGGGTGTGGGAGGGGGTGCGGTGTGCAGGAAGGGGCTCAGGGAAAGGGGTTGGGGTGCAGGAGGAGGTGCGAAGTGTGGGAGGGGACTCAAGGCAGGGGGTTTGGGGTGCAGAAGGGGTGTGGCAGGGGGCTCAAGGCAGGGGGTTGGGGTGTGGGGTGCAGGAGGGGTTCAGGGTGTGGGCTTCGGCCTGGCACCGCTTACCTTGTGTGGCTCCAGGGTGGCAGTGGTGCGCTGCGGGGCTAAGGCAGGTTTCCTGCCTGCCCTGGCCCCACACCGCTCCCAGAAGTGGCCAGCATGTCCGGCAGTGGCTCCTGGGGGTGGGGTGGGGCAGGTGGCTCTACTGCACGCTGCCTTCGCCTGCATGTACCACCCCCGAAGCTCCCGTTGGCAGCATTTCCCCGTTCTCGGCCAATGAGAGCTGCAGGGGGTGATGCCTGCAGGCGAGGGCAGCGCACGGAGCCCTCTGCCCGCCCTCCCCTAGGGGCCGCAGTGCTGGCTGCTTCCAGGAGCAGTGTGGGGCCAGGGCAGGCAGGGAGCAATCCTTCGGGCCGGATTGAAAGCCCTGACAGGCTGGTAGTTTGCCCTCCCCTGTGGTGGATGGAACTTGGCAGCCCCCTTTGGAAAAAAGTCTAAGTGTTGCCACCTATGTAGACAGCCCAGCACTTGTCCTGGAGCACAGGAGGTTGCAGGCAAGCTGAAGATTTTCCTCCCCCTCTACTCAAACAAGGTCATTTAAGTAGAAAGGGCAAAGAGTTGCCTTTCTGAGCCTCCCCACAGTTGTAAATCTGCTCCCATGTGGAGTGGGGTGTTCACAGGACAGCAGCTGGTTACGCTGCATATTGCCCTGGAAGCTTGTTTCATAGGATCACCCCAAAATCAAAGGGCAGGGGAATTGCCAACCCACCAAGAGATGAAATTCCAACACTGGTCACCTGTACTGAAAATGTACTGTGAGCCAAAATGGTACCACCCAAGTTACTAGCTGGAGCTGTAAAGGGAAGAGGTTTCAGAGTAGCAGCCGTGTTAGTCT